GCAGAAGAAACAAGTGAGTGAAGTGCTATCTTACAGATTGACACAAAAAATTTTGCCAGCTACTCCTCAGACGGAGGATTATTATGTAGAATATATAAAAACTCAAAAAATTAGATTTTCCCCAAATAAAATACCCAATTTAAAAAACAGGCAATTGAAATGAAGAGATAATTTTTTAAACAGTAAAAATGGCCAATAAGTAGATGAAAAATGTCCAATATCTTTGGCCAATGGAGAACTGCAAATCAAAACAGCACTGAGGGTTGGGGAGATAGCTCAGTAGAATAAATGCTTGCCTGGCAAGCGCAGGGTCCTGAGTTCAATGCCTGGTACCACAAAAAAAAAAGCACTGAGATTCCATTTTGCTCCAGAAAGAATGGCTCTCATCAAGGACACAAAAGCCAAATGCTAATGAAATTGTGGCGATGAAAAGAAATCCTTTTACGTCGTAGGAGGAAATGCACACTAATACAGCCACAATGGAAATCTGTATGGAAAGTCTCACAAAACTCAAAATAGAAATGCCGCTGGACCTCACTATACTTCTGAGTATCCTCTTGACGGAGCTGAGACACCATAGTGCAGTGACACACGCAGTGTAACTCACAGCACCTTGGAAGAGACCTAGAAATCCATCAATAGATGAATGGAGAAATGAACTACAGTAAGTGCACACAATGGAGTGCTACTCAGCTATGAAGAAGGATGAATTCGAGTGATCTACAGAAAACCAGATGATCCTTGAGATCCCAAAACTAAGTGAAGTCAATCGGACATAGAGGGATAAACAGTATGTGGTTTCTATTATATAAGAAATGTGAAGTATAAATGACTTAAAGAATAAAAGATAGATGATAGGAAATAGAGGGGTGGACTTTGTGGTGATGAGAAGGGACTCTGCAGATGGATGGACGGAAAGGAGGGGAGGAGAAAGGGAAGCGGAGAGGATCAAGATGCACTACATATAGATATAGGTTTCCCATCATGAATGCACTATATATTGCAAGCATACTCCTGGAGGGTTCTGATGCTCAGCGGCTATCGGAGTCCTCCACAAATGTTGGCAGCATGGACGGATCCAGCTGTATTTTACAGCGTGTGCCTCAGCCAGCACTGTGTTTATTTCACTCTTGTTTTATTGTCCTCTCCATCTTTTTGTTCTTTAAACAAAAAAAAAATTTTTTTGAAGAATGGTCTACATGGAAAAAGCTGTACACATTTTTTATTTTAGTGTATTTCTTACGCCCCTGGTATTCTGAGCAACTGTACACATTTAATTTAGTGAACTTGAGGATAACTATATACTTGGGAAACCATCACCACCACTGAGGCCACGGGCGGATTCTCCATCTTATCTGGAACTGTTCCTTCTGCCAACTGGGCTGCGGCATCTGACCCCCATCCATCTTGCCCGCCTGCTCCTGGTCCCCCTCCCTCCTCCTCTGCTCCTTCTCCTTCCTCTCCTCTCAAAGCTGGGAGCCCTGCTCTACCTGGGTCTTCTCAGTGGAGTCTGCATGGTCTCGTACAGGACCTCAAGAGTTCTAGGACTGTAAAGTCATTCCTACCCTAAGGGCACATCAACCCTGACCTCCAGCCTCCTACAGTTACTAGCCTTCTTAGTCTCCTGTCTACCTTCAGGACATCTCAAACCCAGACGCTCAAAGTGAAACTCTTGCTGCTTGGTCCCCACCCAGGCTCCTTCCAATCCAGCTGCAGACCAGCACCCCACTGCCTCACAACACCCATCTTCTTGCGCTAAGGTGGAAGCCCCCTCATTGGAGTCCTCCATCCACATGACCCTTTCTTCTCCACCAAGCAGCTAGGGCAATCCCTTTTAACTATAAACCAGCCACTCTCCTGCTGGCTTCTTTTCACTCTTGGAACAAAACCCCAAATCCTGACTGGCCTGCCAGCCCCCTCCCCACGCCCCGGTACTCTCCACTCGCTCGCTCCCCAGCTGTCCCGCTGTCCTACCTGCTATTCCTAAGCACAGCAAGCAGGTGCTCGCCTCAGGCCTTTGCACTGGCTCTTCCCACTTCCTGGAACACCCTTCTCCATCTGTCATGGCTCCTCCTCTCTTCTTTTAGCTCTTTGCTGAAATTTTCTCCTCAAAGAGACCTTTTTGATGATCTCTTTTGCATGAAGTACAACATGCTACTGTCTCTCCCTTCACCCTAGTTTACTTTCACATAGCATTTATTACTCTTTGGCATCACATGTTACTTTTATTGGTTTACTTGTTACCTGCCTGTCCTCCCTCCCCCCGCAGCATGTGCTCTCTGAGAGGGCAGGACTTTGTTTTGTACTTTGATGTTTAGAATACTTTCTGGCTCATATCAGGAGCAATATTTATTACATGTATGAACAAGAGAATGAATGACTAGCAGACCCTCAGGGGTAGAGGCTCTCTCTGGTCTTATTCATGCTTCCCTACCTACATCTGCCTGCTTTGGGCAGGGTATGGCAAAACTGCTCATAAATGCTTGATTGCAGAAGAGGCAATAAACAGCTTCCGAGCAAATGAATAACCAAGCTCCTGCAAGGACTGTGCGGGGCAGTGAGGTGGCAGCCAGCTTGGAACCTGCTTGTCTGGGGGAGCAAGCGTTGGTCTCTGATCCTGGCTGAAGACAGCTATTACTGGGCGGGGACACACACGCAAGTGGCCTTAGGGAAGCTGCACAGGCTGACAGGCACTGGAGCCTGGGGGCTCACACAATAGGACAGTGCAGGCACAGCTGGGAACAGTACAGCCACCACAGGCTCCGAGCAGCCGTACTTGAATTCCCACTTAATCTGCTCTCATGTATAAGCACCGCACAGCCTGTCTCATAGCTGACGAAACTAAAGCTCAGAGTGATTAAGTGGCTCGCGGAGCCTTACTGGCAATGAGTGACAGGGTTGAGATTTGACCCCAAGGCTGCTTAATTCCAGATAATAAACTACATGCACTTTTTCTGAGGACTCCCTAAGTGCCAGGATCTATTTAAGTGCCCTATACACATACAGATCTCATTTAATACTCAATGACTGTTTTAGTGAAATACTGTCCTCTTCATTCCCTAAATTAAGAGACCTGAGTCACAGAGAGACTAAGGAACTTGCTCCAGGTCACCCAGAACTATCCATCATAACATATTACCTTAAATTATCTCCAACAACTTAGATGTTGACTATAAACCACTGCCCAGGGTAAATTAGCTCAAAAACTCTAAAAAAGGGACAGCTAGAAAGGGATCAGCAGTGAGGAGTATTTTACCCAGCATGCCTGTCTGCCCCATCTCTGGCCTCTCCCATTTCATCTTCTGTGTTTCTGGATGAGGCCAGCCTGGATAGGGAAGGCTGTAGCTGTCCCCAAGGCAGCAGGGTGCAAAGTCCAGCCCAGACCCTGCCCCTGCATGAGGATGCCTGCCTGGCCTGCACACGGCAGCATTAATAGGTAATGACCTGAGAAGGAAACAGCAGCCTGCTGTAAACACGGAGGCCTGGGGCTCACTGAAGCTTGCACAGCCTCCTCCTCTAGAGGGACAGGGGTGAACCCCAGTTGAGTCGCTAGAGGTGATAGTCTCAGAAGAGGTGAAGAGTAGGAACCCCAACAGAAGGGCAGACAGCAAAAGAAAACCTGACTATTTTCAGCCAAAGGGCAAGAAGGTGAAATTCAAGCCCAGGGTGGGGGACGGAGGTTGAGTTCTTTCAAAGTGGGTTGCCTGAAATCTACACTCAGCAAGGTCCTCAGCAGCTGAAATTTCTCTCTACACATCCCTTTGCAGTAGGATGTGCTGGTGAACAGGGTCAAATGTTCCCTGTGACATTTGCTGGACCTCAACTCTTGCTGAACTCCCAGCTACCACTTAACCCTGAGAGCAGGATGTGGGAAACTTCTGCCAGTATGAGCTGTTCCCTTTGCTCCCCTACCAGGCCATAGTCCCAGCACTCAGTGCCCAGCCATAGGTCACTACTGTAGTTTTTCCCACTCATATGAATGGCAGTTTGAGGGGACCAACTGGGTCTGGCATAGATTTAATGGTCAAACTCTGGCTGATAGGCCCAAGACCCTGGTACTTAGCCTCTGTGGCCCCACAGATCTGCTTCCATGGACACAGCTGCCCACCTCTCCCCCTCTTGGGCAAGGCCTGTGGGTGGTTCCAGATACTCCCTCTTCACCTCTATCCAATGGCTTGCAGCAGGTCTGTCCACTGGGTCCCCTCAAAGGCTTTCTCTGGCCTCAGGACTTCAGCAGATCCTGTGTAGCTTTGGAAACAGCCCTGGAAATGCCCTGGGTGGGTCCAGTGGCTCCCAGTGAAGGTCTGTGAGGACCCAGGACATCAATGAGCCCCTCACTGGAACTCTCCAAAGGCAGTGGGGCTCAGTCCAAGGAGCTGCAGGCCTAAGCCAGGCTCCTCACACACCTTCTTTTCCTTTCTTCCCCAGAACAACCTGGCCCCAACAGTCTGCAGCTGCCTCTCAGAACCTAAGGCCGCTCAATTCTGGATCCTAAGGAATAGTTCTGGACGGCAGGGGCTCCAAGAGGGCTCCTAACTCAGCTTCAGGCTTTGAGGTTAAAGGGCAGAAAGAGATGCCCAGTTTCCTGGCTCCATGTCTTCCTCTCAGACGCTCACCAAGGGCTGGCCACCTGCTCCAACAGTCCCAGGCTGGGGGCAGTGGGAGGAGGTGAATTTGCCCGCCTAGGGCGACCTCAAGGACTATCCCCTCTCTGCCAAGGCTGCAAAGAATCCCAGCTCCAGAGAATTCCGAACCCCTGGGTGCAGGAGAAAGGGAATTTTCCGGAGGCGGCCTCTTCACCTGGACTCCTGGGATCCCTGCCTTCATTTTATTGGGAATCGCTGCTGGTAGCCAAAGGACCCACCGGAGTCTCCGCCCACCCAGAGCCCTCAAGGCCAGTCTGGAAAAGGAAGAGTAGCGCGCGGGATGTTCACCGCCCCCACCCAGGCCGCCGGGACTCCGCAGTCCCGGTTGCTTGGAGCACTTCTCGCAGCTCTGACCTTGTGCCGGAATTCTCGGGCCACCTTCCGGTCCATGGTTGGGCCGGATCAGCCGCGTCGCTTCACGACCCGCTCCTTTGGGTGCCGGGGTGTCAGGAGTTGGCCAGAGCGGCACCCAGACCAGCGAGCTTCCCTCGGGACTAGGGCGGGGCCTGGGAGCAACGGGGGCGGGGCCTGGGGCGGGGCGGGGCTTGAAGGGGAGGGGCGGGCCGCAGCGAGGCCGGAGATGCCTGTCCTGCAGCCTAGAGGCTCGCAAGATTTGGGGAGCGGGGAAAGCGGCCTCTGGGATGTGAGTGTGCTGACCGGGCAGGACTTAGCCGAGGCTGGTTTTCCTTTTGAAGTGATCCGCAGACACGCGGTTGAGGAAGAGGATGGTGGCAGGGAGGAAGGAGGTTTGGGAAGTCTTTTTATTTGAGAGGGAAATGTAGAGGTCTCTTCTCCTTGGTTACCTTGCCGACCTTCAGCCAGAGCCCGGACCCACTGGTTCATCAGATGGAGTTCAGGCGCTGTGTTGACCTCCCAGGTGCAGGGTTGGGTGCGAAGCTAGGAGGCACCAGGCCCAGACCACTAAGAGGAAGAGCTGTTTGCACCCTATCAGTGACCCTAATCAATTAACCCTCTAAGACTGTGATTTCAGCGACATGTGAGGCCCCTTCTTGGGATGGGGTGCAGCTCAGTGATAGAGCATTTACCTGGTGGCCTTGAGTTTCATCTCCAGCGCTACAATTTTTTTTTTTTAAAGTGGAAAAAGAACCTTCACCTGGACCCCTCTCCCAATAGCCAAAGTTCTGCATGTAGACTATTTTCATATGAGTAAATTATTACCCACTTTAAGAAGTAAATTCCTTTCTGAAGAAACTTAAAATATCCATGTCATTATTGTTATAGATTAAAGAGAATGAAAAAAAAAAATAAAGAGAAAGACTTGGCAGATTTTCAATGGTTCACAAAAGACCACACAAAATATTTCCCCCTCCAACATACAACACTGATTCCCTGCATTTCTCAAATGTGTCATGCCGCTGCTTATTTCATATTTAGAATCCAAGCAGAGTGGTCAGTGGCCTTAACTGGGACAGCGCAGTCCTGGTCCACCCAGTCCTTTCACACGACCACAACCCCAGGACTCCCTCCTTCCTCAGGCTTCCTGCTTGGTCTTGGGAACAGCATCGAGTCCTGGCTCTTCTGCATGAATGTTCCTGCTCAGCCTTCCCCTGAGGCCATCTTTCCTTCCTCTATTTCTTAGCCAGTGTTCTTTTATTGTTGAATATCTATGCAGTTTATTGAATACTGTACTGAAAGTGAAGAACAATGGTTGTGTGTGTACATATTTGCTCCACTGAAAAGCTGAAAAATCCTAAGTAGGAGCTGGGATGTATATCACTTTGGAGCTGTGTATATGTCTTTTCAAAATCTTCTTTTTTACTTGATGTTAATAATATCTTAAGAACTTCTCCATATTGCTGTAGAGTCTTCCAAGCCATCATTCTGGGCTTCTATGTCAGTTGGACACTTGGATCCATTTCCCAGGTAACCAGTGTTCTCCACCTTTTATTGTCTCTTCCTTACCTCCCCCTCTATTCCCTCTATTCCCAGAGCTTCAGATACCCTGTATGAGGATAGCTTCACCACCCTACACCTAGGAAAGTACATGGCACAGAATAGATTCTCAAGAAATTTATAAATGAATGAATGAATGCATGCATTCACCTCAAATTAGACCCCTGCCTGCCTGCCTGGGTCTCAACTGGAGCCAATCTCTTCTTGCTTCTCTCCCTCTTCCTTCTTATTATAATTATTTGCAAGGCCTCTCATCTAGTTAATGATCTATGGTTGAGCTAGTGAACAATGCTCAAGTTCCCAAGGCTCTGAGGCCCAAATTTACTACTTAAAAATTCCTCCTGGTCACCATGTTGTTCATATCAATGCTTGGTCAGTTTGTTAACAGTTTATTTATTTATTGTCAGTATCTGGTATTGGTGGGGGTAATGAGACATTGCTGTCATTCAGTCAGTATTTCCTGAGCCAGTGTTGGCTTTCAGGGGACTAAGATATGGATCATTTCTCAAAAGAGTGGGATGAGAATTTGGGAGCCCCATGGAAGTGGTAGATAGGACCCTGCAGGCCTGAGCCCTGGCTCTGCTATCTTCACAGGTCATTAATTGGCATGTCCAGGTGTCTGTGTGGCCTGTACAAATGGAGAGGGTCAGTATCTCTGGTCTCTGGTGGAAGCGGCTTCTAGGACCCAGGTCAGGTAGCTGGAGACTGCACAGACGGGGGCCATAGGGCTGAGCAATCTGAGCCAGAGGCCTCTGGGGAGGGGTAGCCACAGACCAAGAAGGGCAGAGGCACCTATGGTAATAAGCTGTGCAGTGCTGTCACTCTAGCGGGGGAGGAGCTAAGTGCCAGCCACTGAAGGAGGGCCAGGAGAAGAGGTGTAAGTGAGAGGGAGATCAGGAGAAACTGCGGCTGTTTGCAGGTGTAACCCTGCCTGGGCCCCTAAGCTGGAGAGGCACCTCAGCCGGGTCCTAAGCTCAGGCTCCCTGGTTCCGTGAGCCCCATGGGAGCCCGGGCGCCCACGCTCTGCTTGCTACTGGCTAGCTTCTGGCTGCCCCAAGGTAAGCAGGCATGGAAGTATCTTCGGGTGCAGCGTCTTGGTGAAAGTGGTGTGGATTGGGGGAGCCAGGCTGGGAGAATGTTTAGGGGAGCAGTTCTGGACAGGTGGGAGAGGGGAGGAAGAAAAGTTGGAGGAAGAACTAGGGGTCCTGGGAGAGGGAAGGTGGAGGCAAGAGAGAGGGGCAACAGAAGGAAGAGGGTCCTAAGAGGGCAAGGTGGAAGAGATCCAAGGGAACGAACCAAAGGCAACAGGGGCCCAAGGAATGGGAGAAAAGAGGGAGATTCTTGTCCCGGAATGTCACCTGGAGGCTGAGAAATATTTGAGAAGGCTGTAGGGAGAGAGAAGGAGGAATTTGCAGGAGGGCCTTCCTTGCCTATGGGGGTGCCAGGTGGGAGGCCCCAGCAAAGGGAGGCCCAACTCCAGGGGGAAATGATCCCCTCTCTCTAGTCACAGCCCCGACAATGCCGGCCAGAGCACAGCCATCGCCCCAGCCTGCACTGGAACCCAGGTGAGTAGTGGGCACTGACTGCTCACACTGCCTCCAGGGACTCACTTAGCATACAAGGTCTGCGAGAGGGAGGCAAGGCTATTCCTGGACCCCCACCCATGTGAGGCTCATTTGTCACCTAGCCACAGCTCCAAGGAGATGACCCTCGCCATGGGGAATGTCACCAGAGCAATGGGAGACCAGGTAAGTGAGGCCGGGGAAGGAGGAGGGTGTCATTGGGCAGGGGGCTTCTTTCTGTCTGGGCCCGAGGCTGCTAGGGAGCTCACCGGGTAACTAGAGGACTGTCCTTGGAACAGAAGGGAACAAACAGGTGTCTGCTACGTATTTGACGTGTGTACATAGGTAGTGTACTTTTATGGACACTTTCCTAATCTCATGGGGCCTTGTAGTCAGCATAGGGCCTTTCCTGGGAAACAGCCGAGTTCTTCCTAACCTCCCCCAGGTGAAAGCAGGCAGGTGGATGTTTAGGAGGAGGGTTTTGTCTTTCTTGCCTGGTCTGTGAAAACTCAGTCCTGTGACAGGTCCCATCCATACCTTGTGCAGTTTGCCCTGAGACAAACAAAAGCAGGATTACCTGGTGGGGATTGCTAGGAAAGACTGGCCAAGGAGCTGGGCCCTGCGTTACTCTCCTGGCCATTCCTTGTGGCTAACCCTCCTGGAATCCTCTGTTTGTAAGAGAGGTGACAGGTTTGTTTTCTCCCTTTGCAAAACTTTGTTGGTCTCTGGGCCGGGTGACTCAAGATCTTTTTGAATTCTGGTCTGCATTTTTCTCCCACTGCAGACATGGCACACAATTAGCCCACCTATCCCAAGCTCCCCAGAGCAGCTTAAGCCTCAGCTCAGCTGCCCCAGCCCAGCGATCAACTCTGGGTAGCCTGCAGGGCCAGCAGGCTAGGGAACATCATTTACAGGGGACACAATGAGCCCCAGCCATGTGCCATTTTAGAAATAGTTCTGAAGGTGCCAGTTGAGCTGAGGTGGGGTGTGGTGGGCACAGTTCCTCTCTAATGTGGATTTGCTGGGTGTTTTACTTCTTGTTTGTCTACAATTTCAGGCTCCAACCTTTAGAATTATACTCAGGTATACTTGGAGCTGAAATGGAGTGCAGCCATTGAATTTATAGCTAGAGAAGCTGACATAGGTGGGTGTCTTGCCCAGGTTCCACAGTGAACAGGTGGACCGGAGTCTTGTCCTTCTGTACCATGATGCCCTCAGGGCTCTAAGAATCTGCACATTTTAGTGGGAGAAATGACCTTTATCTGGATGAATCATTCCTCAGTGGGCTCTTTCCTTAGATAAGAGTCCTCCCCTGGAGGGAAGATGCTGGTGCTTTCCCTGTCCCTACCCTTTCCAATTCCTGTGGTGTCCATAAACCCCAAGATAGATTATTGGGGGAAGGGCGGTTGACTGGCTCTTGGGGCAGGCCCAAGTTGCTGGGTAAGCTCAGGAGCCAGAGTCCAAAATGGGATGAGAACCTGGTAAAGTGTGACCTCCCAGGGAGTAGGACAAGACATGAAGCAGGGTGACTTTCCTGGCCAAGGAGGGGTGGAGGGCAGGGGCTTCAGGGACCAAGACTTTTGAATGCTAGGTGTATTCTAAGTACACTGCCAGAGGCTGCAGGTTCTGCCTCAACATGCAGGGATGACAGTGAGGGCTGAAGACATGAGAGACAAACACCCACAGTGTGGCCTGCGGCATGTTGGCCATGTGAACTAGAACATAAATACAGTGAGAGCAGACACAGTGCCTGGGTACCACATGGTGCTGGGGACCTTTTACTATGAGGGAGCTGTGAGGCAGGAGCCCATGGTGTCAGAGTCCAGCCCTTGGTGGCATTTAGACCCCTTGGACTGGAGTTCTGAGAGGACGGGTGTCCCTGTCATCTATCATACGGTGACTGAGCACCCATGGTGTTCAGAATGGTCCTTTCAGATGGGTTAGGCCTGGAGGTCTATGTCCTGGAGGGGAATTGTGCCGGAAGCCAGAATTTATCAGCTCCCCTTTGCCTGTGTCCT